TTCATATTCAGTTCCCAAGTCCAGAATATGCACTCACAAAAAGATATGAATTTTGACATTATAGGTCCTTTAGAAAAGTCAACAAAAACACCTTTTGGTTCAAAGCTTCATACATGAACATGGAAGACTCAATTGAGATGAGACTAAAAGGGTTGTTTAGAGGACACCCTAAGCTTTCTAAAAAGTCCAAGAACACCTCTATAGGGTCAAAATTGAGAGAGTTATGCATTGGCCAAGTTGACCATTTTTGCAAAATTGCCAAATGTCAAATGTGCTCAAATTTGCATTTTTTGTTAAACGGGCCCAACTTTTTACGCTTGCACCTCAATTATAATGTGGTCCACGACTCAAATGTTCACCCACCCATTATGTGCTTCATTTTTCAATTTATTTTGATTTTTCATTAATTAAAAAGTGAATTAAATCAAATAAATGATGAAAATTAACAAGGATGTGATTTGATTTGTTTTTTTGACAGATTGGCAATCAAGATATGCTGAGTTAACAAGATCTAATCGAATCAAGGTCAATTGGTACAAGAAAGGCATGATTTGGCTCAAAATAGCAACATATCATATAGCTTGCAAATCAAATCAAATCTTAGATAAATGCAAAGATTTAGTCCAAGTTTGTTAACCTAATTCACTCTAGGTTATATAGTGAACAATTCCAGATCAAAAATATAAGGGTTAGAGTCGTGAAAAAAGGCAGAGCAAACTTCAAAATTCAAAGAAAATTTGAATTGTTTTTCACTCCACAGGCCATCTTAAGCCATCCTAGCTATCCCAATCCATTGTTGGACGTCCCAGGAAGCTGTCCCAATCGTTTGCAAGGCCTGAAACACCCAGAAACGCGCGTTACATCTCATACAGTTTGACATAATTTTCCAATTCGATTATCATAATTCTTGCATCATTAGCACTTTTGATTGTTATATTCGTGTTTGTCATCATGTTTTCAAGCTAACCATGCCATTTAATTGCGTTTTTGAAGCTTGTACACGATGTTGCCATTGCTAGGGTTGTTGTGTTATTTTTAGGGTCTTTTTGTACATGAACAATTGGGCCTTAAATCAGGTACCATGATGCTCGTGAGGATGAGACGAGTTGATTGGTACCATTACCTTTCATTTATCTTTCGTGTACAACATTTTTGAAATATGCGGGTCAGCCAGCCATTCGTTCGTTTGAATCTCGCGCGCTTTGGAATCAACTCTTTTGTTTTTCTTATATTATGTTTTATTATTATTATAATTACAACTAACAATCATAGCTCAGCTGACAGCGTGGCATTGGATTTAAGCGTGAGGACCTGGGTTCGATCCCAGGTCCCAGCGCTTTCTTTATTTTCCTTTCTATCAGTAGATCCAGTGCCTCACAATCTCAAGCGCCTTCCATACAACCTCAACATCCATCCGTTTGATACACTCTTACCCAAATCTGACGCTTCCAACCTGAAGGACCATGATGCACCTCAGGTCAATACTGTACATGATCAAGCATGGTCAACCTGGGCTTAGCTTGTTGGGCCAGAAAATTCAAATGCTCACCCCCTCTTTCAGCAAGACAACAGGCCAATTTCTCAAATTTTTTCTCTTCTAATTATTTTATTTTGCTTTATTCTTAATTCCTTTATTATTTTATTTTTAAAATCAGTTTTTTTTAATAAAATCATAAAAATCAAAAAGTCAAGGAAAAATAGATTTAGTTGTTTTCTTATTAAATTTAATTTTGTTAATTAATTAGATTAATATTTAAATTAGGGTAACTTTAATTTGTTTTTCACAATTAAAATTAAATTAGAAAATTAGGTTAACTCTTGATTTAATCTTTCTCTTTTTTCTCAAATAAAACAAAAATACAAAAATAGGTTGTTTAGAATTAATTAATTTATTTTCAAAAATTAATATAAATTAGGACTGAGGATTTTCTTTTAATTTAATTCTCCATTATTTTCTCAAATAATAAAACATGACAAAAAAAACATTTTTTTCTTTAATCAATCGCAAGTAGGATTAGTCAAAGGGTCAAAACCCCAATCGCCTCGCATTTAACCTACGGCGCGCATTTAATTCTTTTATTATTTTTGTAACTGTTTTGAGGATGTAATAGCTTTAATTAGGGTTTTTAAATTTCCGCAACTTTATTTACTGTCAACGACAATTATGTAACTGTCAAAGACATGTAATAAGCGTAGGTTATTTTTTCCGCTTTTACTTTCCGCAAAACTCTTAACTGTTAGATGTATGTTTAGGATTGTATGGCAAGAATGCATGACAAAATTAAAATGGTTAGAAAACCCTAATGTGCAAAGATAATAAACTGAAAATAAATCACTCGCACATATTCACTCTTAGGGTATACTCTCACTTAGGTTGCCTTCGGTAAACGATCATTAAGCATAGGGTGTCTTAGTGGTTACCCTCCCGTCTAAAGAGATCAAATTGTCCAGTTCAAATGTTGCCTCAGAAATGTTGCCTCGAAAAGATCTTAAGACTCTAGGGTTGCTACTAAGGTGTCCTAATATTGCTTTAGTGACCGTACGTCCCTTTTGAATTGACCCTTACAAATTCCAACGACGGTGCTACCTATTTCTCAATAGTAGGATAGTGCTGTCTAAAGGAAACAAGAATAGAAACGATCTTTTTTCGAGTGGGTAGATGCTAGTAGGTACTTGCTCAAATCAAAACTTTTCACACTTACACTTTTCAAACAAATGTTCAAAATAACTTCATCACACCCTTGAGGATTGATACAAGGGTTATCACGAAGTAAAATATTTTTCAAAAACAAGCACACAAACACAAGCAATTTAAAAATGAACAAGTACCTAAAACCCATGGAAAACCATGGATAGAAAGGGTGCTAACACCTTCCCTTTCTATAATCTACCCCTCGTACTCAAAATCTCGAAAAAGGATTTTTTTTCTGTACTTTTTTCCTTTCCGATTGAATGAAATAAAAGTCGGTGGAGACTCTTGTTTACCGCGACATTTTGCAAATAAAAAAACGCAAAACGTAAACCAGTAAAAACAGTCGATTCTGCCACCGTATCATAGAACTGACGACTCTGTTGGGGATGAATTATAAGTGGAGTATACCTTAGGATCTAGGTCATTAAAATTGCTTCTCTTGATTGCTTTATTTGCTTTATTTTTGAGGGTTTTGTTTGGGGTTACTATAGATCCTATACTTGGATCTGGGGGCACTCATTAGGTAAGTAGCAATAGACTATGAAGGAACTGTACGACATAGACCAATACGTTTGAAGCAGTAGCTACGTTGGTGTGACACTTTGGTTGGTACCGGTATCCCTTGTGGTGAAACGAGGAGAATATGGGGCCGCTGCATGGTGTCGTGAAACACTAACGAACCTTAGAACCTTAGTTGAACAACTTGGCCATTAGAAAGTAGTGAGATAGCCGGCCTCGGTGTAGAGCTAAGGATTGGTTGATACTCGATGCTACACTCATTGAGATCATACTTTCGGAATATTTCGGCTGCAAGAAAAGATTGTGTGAGCTGAAACCATGACCGATAAAGGATGATCAATGATATTGAGATCCTCTAGAACCCAATTACTTTTCTAGGACAGGTTTGAAACCAACTTAACTTCAAGAGGGTATTACCTTTGACCTCATGCAAGCCTTAAACCTAAGGGCTTTATGTGATTTGACTGTGTTTGCAATACCTGTGTTTGCTATACCTGTGGTTTATCTTGACATCATGCTGTTGCAACTGGTTTTTTAGATAGAGTCGTCACCCTTAATTTTTATCCTAAAGGAAGGGAGTATAAAGGAATAACCCTAAATTTCAGAGATTCTAGATTTGGACTCGGTTCTAGACGAGGGGAAGGTGTTAGGCACCCCTTATCTACCTTGTTCGCAAGGATACTAGGTTTAGAAGTCCGATGTTTAGGAAATAGGGTTTTAATTATTAATTAAGGAAAAGGGTTTGAATTTTAGTTAGCGGGACTCGCAACGATTTTTGATCGTATGCCTACGTATCCTCCTTAGGAGGAATCAGAGTCTCATTTTCGTAGTTCGCGGGTTTGTTTGTGTTTTTTATGGATTGTAAAATATATTTTGAATTTCCCGCGTATGTGGTCTAAGAATAGGAATAGCGGATTTTGTTAGACCAAATACGCAGTTAATTTAAACATATTTGTATTCCTTTTCGAAAATTAATTGTTCGAATTAATTTATTACGAAAAAAGTAGTTTGGCGATTGTTTGGATATTTTAGATGTATAGCAGAGGAGTTTGATATAGCCCCCTTATCACGTGGCCAGATATTAGCCATGTGTCGCCCGCGGATGTAGTAATTTGGTGAATCGCGTAGGTTTTGATATTTTTATAAAATATTGAATTTAATTTGATTATGAAAAATGTTTGAATATATACACGAAATCGTTTTGTTATTGTTATATTAATTTTATAAACTAAATTAAATTATTTAATTATAACTAAAATAAAATTTAAATGTTTATAACTTTTATTTATTTATTGGATAAAAACTAATTAGCCTAAATAAACTAAATAAAATAAATAAACTAAGTGGACACCAAGAGGTGGAGAATTTGAAACAAGGTTAGTGTCTTAACAGAATGGTAGAAACAAAACACAATGGCCCAATTTACACATAACCCTAATTATAAAGCAAATTAAATAAACAATAAATAATACTTAAAGAAAAAAAGGATGCTAAGGGGCAGGGGACGCCGTCTACAGTTGTTGTTATTCCAAATCTAAAAGCAAAAATATTAACACAAATCTATGCTTTGATCATGTAAGCAATCACTTAAGTTTTGACATGTGACATCCTTTTTAATTAAAAATAAAATATAAATGCCAATTAACAATTTAAGAGAAACGAATATCTATTCCATTACCTTCTTCTTGCAATCTGGCAGTTCCTTTTTCTCTCCTTCTCTCGAAGATCAAAACAAAAACTTGTAACAACGACAAGCATCAACCATCATGGTTTCCCTTCTCAATCAAAATCACACAAAGCAAATCGATGTTGTCAGAAAATGGACAGCACAAAAGGGATACAAAGGACCTGCTTGATAGAGGGAGTCGGCGGCCATAAAGCGTGAGTGTTGGCCGGAGGCGTCGCAGTTGTTACAGCATCGGAACTGAGGTTGCACGGAGTGGTGATTTAACAATTCCGATTTGCTTCCCCCCTCTAATCTGTAGTTTTCGTTCCTCATTTATAGTGATAGTAGGCTTAGATCAAATTAGGAATTACAATTTTTTGTCTGCATTTTTAATTCGGTTCCCAAATTAAGATAAATTGCTTTGAAAGCTTGTCTGTAAGTTTATGGCTAGAAATTAATTCATGGTTTTAGATTAGGAAATAATGTTTCATTCTATCTGCAATTTCCAGGGCCGAGCAATTTCCTTCCATTTCCAAAATTCGATTTTGCATTAATGTCATATCCGTTTATACTTAATTTTGCTCTGTAAATGAAGAACAATTAAAGCTTTAAATTCTTGTTTTAATTTGAACAGTGCGCGTTCACAACAAAAACATTTGAACCAAAAACAATCCCCACAATAATTGTTGTTCTCAAAAAATGGGCCACTGATGGTAAACTTAGGCCAAGGCGCTTTTTTCTCATTTGAAACAAACAAACTTTAACAGATGAATTGGCCACCCTTTTTTGATACAGCGAACAAATAAAGCGGGCTCAAAATAATTGGGATGTCTTCCGTAGAAAGTATTAAAAATAAAAATTGTTTATGTTCAATAAAAAAGAAATTTAATAGAAAAGGAAAAAAAGTTTAATCAAATTCGCTTTGAATAAAAAGGCTAAATGGGCCACCGATTTGGGTTGTAAGGCTCCCAACATGCAACAACCCAACATTATCTTTATTTAATTCTTTGATATAATGTTTTAACTAAAATTAATATAATTAATAATAAAAAGAAATGTTAATAATAAATTTAAAGTCAGATATTGACTTTAGTTTAAAAAAAATAATAAAGTAAATTTGACAACAAAAATTAATCATGTGGCATCAGTAATATTGATTATGAACTATGATGCTAATTAAATAAATAATAGTACTTAAACAAATATTGGCTTAGTCAAAAAAAGAATGGGCTTCAAACCCTCTAATTAGGCTATAGAGTCAATTCAGAATTTGTAAATCCCACACCCCTTCTTCTTATAATACACCCCCTCTCTTAAACTTGAAATAAATTTTAAGACTTAGTGGACCATCAGATATTGATGGTCTATTTTATATCAACACACCCCTTTGACTTTAAATACCCCTATAAAGGTGAAAACTAAATAATAAAATTTATTTGAAGAAAACCCTAGATTAGGGTAGGGAAAATTTGGGGTATGACACATGCATCATAACATGACATTCATGCTTCATTACACTAATCATTTCAAAGACCAAGGGAATTTATCTTTGTTCTGTTTTGCAGATCATGGCTTCCGTGCGTAGAAATACTATCTGAATCAGCTTTGTGAAGATACCTTCCCAACTCAAAGAGCTAGTATCAAGAGTTTCTGAAACTTATACTTTCATTAAGAGACACAGTCAACTTCTCAACCTGGTTACTTCAAACTTTGATGAATAGATGATGAGCGTACTTTTCCAGTTCTTCGATCCCAAGCATCACTGCTTCACCTTTCCAGATTATCAGTTTGTACCCACCTTGGAAGAATTCTCTCAGCTATTGGGCATACCCATTCTTGAATAGGTACCCTTCACAGGTATAAAAGAAGTTCCTAAGCCAGAAGTCATTGCCTCAACTTTGCATTTGAAACGGGCCGATGTGGTATCTAATTAGGAAACTGGAAGTGGAGTCGATGGCTTACTAGCCAAATTTCTGATAGATAAGGCTCAGCTATTTTGGGATGATATGGATTTTCAGGATTTTGAGGGGGTCTTGGCTCTTCTTACCTATGGTTTAGTTCTCTTCCCTAATCCAGACTCCTTCATAGATGTGAATGCTATCAAGATTTTCCTTTCTCGTAACCCTTTGCCTACCTTGCTTGGAGATATTTTGCACACTCTTCATACTCGTACCATGAAGAGAAGAGGGACTCTTATGTGTTGTATGTCGTTGTTGTCAAGGTGGTTTATTTCTCACCTCCCTAAGTCTATACCGAAGAACGAAGAAGGTTTGGGTTGGTCGTGAAGGATAATGTCACTCGCTCATACGGATATTCTTTGGTGTTCCCGAGCTATGGAAGACATTGCTATTATTGACCGCTGTGGGGAGTACCCTAATGTCCCATTACTTGGTATCAGAGGGGGTATAACTTACAATCCTTGTCTAACTTTGCGACAATTTTGTCATGCTCGAAGGGATGGTCCCTATGAGTTACTTATTGAGGGCATTGTATTCAACTATGAGGATGATGTTAATGAGTATCGCCGAAGGTTCATACGAGCTTGGGGCGTGGTAAACAGATCTGACACCAAAGATTTGGGACCAAAGACTTCCATTCCTATGGAGCCTTACCTCCAATGGGTACGAGCTCGTGCCCAGAAGCTTATGATGCCTTATGTGGTCGTATTACAAGTGATTATGGAGCCCATTACTGAAGAAGGCATTCCTTACACGGTTCTCTATCCTTACATGCCCACTGATCTTGGGGAGTTACAGAGGTCTTGGATTCAGCTGAAGAATGAGAGGGATACTTACAGGGAATAGTTCCATGATCAAGAGAGGAAGGTTTTAAACTCACTAGGAAGCTTCAGGAAGAAAGAGTGCTCAATGATTATATCAGCACAAAGAGAAAGCGTCCATGGGACTTTTGATTTTTCTTTTCTAGTTTTAGATTTGTTTTATTTACTTATTTGTAACGCCTTAAAGGCATTTTGAACCTTCAAATTTAAGCTAATAAAGTTTTTGTCTATTTTGGTTTGCAAATTTAAATTTCCTGAAGTCTTTGAAATCATTACATGCGCATCCCATTATCATACACATCATTACAGGTACCACTACCAGGTTTCTCATATTCTTCGCTGTTTATTTCAGCAGAAATGTCTTCTGATCAAGCCATCAAAAATCTTCAGGCACAGAATGCCGAGTTCCAACAAATATTCATCAGTCTAGCAAAAGGGCAGGAGGATCTAAAATCCCTCATTCTGAAAGAGAAGAAGAAGAAGAAGAAGGTTGTATGTATTCTGAATATGGGCAGAAGGTTTGGAGAGTTGTTGAAGCAACAAACTGATCTGACCTCTTCATACAAGGAAGGGGAGAATCAGGAAGAAGAGAAGGACCCCAGTCTTGTAGTTTCTGACAATGATACTGATTACAATGATGAGCAATATCCTCCTGCTGAGGATAGATACAAACAGTAAGAGGATCGTCTGAGTGCCATGGAAGTTCAGAGGATATCTGGGTTGGATTTTGAAGAGTTGGGTTTGGTGTCGGGAGTGGTCATCCCGCAAAAGTTCAAAGCTCCAATTTTTGCCAAGTATGATGGAGTGTCCTGCCCAAAGCTCCATCTCCGCTCTTATGTAAGAAAAATCCAACCCCACACCGCTGATAGAAATTTGTGGGTGCATTTCTTTCAAGATAGTCTGTCAGGGACTCAGCTTGAATGGTTCTACCAGTTGGAGGGAGCCAGTGTTCGAAACTGGGAAGATCTTGCTGCTGCTTTCTACAAGCAGTATCAGTGTAATGCCGACCTTGCTCCCACTCGTACTCAACTCCAGAGTATGTCCATGGGTGCAGGTGAAGGTTTTAAAGATTATGCTCAAAAATTGAGAGATTTGGCTGGGAGAGTTCAACCCCCGTTGTCTGATAGGGAGTTGGTTGATATGTTTCTAGGAATGCTATCAGGTCCATTTTTCAATCACTTAATTGACAGCTCATCACCTGGTTTCACCGAGCTGATTTTAACTGGAGAAAGAGTAGAAACTGGAATTCGGAGTTGTAAAATACAGAAGGATGCCTCCTCGAGTTCGACAAAGAAGCCTTTCGCTGGTAAGAAGGAAGCTAGTGCGGTCTATAGCCCGAGGGGCCAAAGCAGATCTGAACACCGTCAAACGGTAAATGCTGTAGTGATACCAAGACCCGTAGTTGCTCCATAATGCAACAATCAACAAAGGGGGGAAAGACCACAACGACAGTTTACCCGCATCAACATGACATTGGCTGAAGTTTTACCTCATCTGCTGAGATCTAACTTGGTAACCTTGAGAGAAGCTCCCAAGAATCCAAGTACTACATCTCCCAGATACAATCCTAATGCGCGGCGCGCCTACCATTCTGAGAGTCCTGGCCACAATACAAATGATTGTTGGGCTCTGAGAAACAAAGTACAAGACTTTCTTGAAGACAAGGAGATAGAGTTCGATGCTCTAGAAAAGTTGAATGTTATAACTGCTCCCATGCCCAAACATGGTCGTGGAGTTAATGTTATTGACACTGATTTGTTTGTGACCTCTGTTGAAGAAATTTCTACTCCTCTTATGACTGTTAAGAAGAATTTGCTGTTGGCCGGTTTATTTCCGGGTTGTGGTGAAGGTTGCCACATGTGTTCGATTCTACCTTCTGGTTGCCGTTTGTTGAAGTCAGGTGTTTAACGCCTGATGGATAATAAAGAGATTTTGTTCGAGAACATTGTGATCCATGTTGTTCCCATTGAAGACGTCACTATTATAACCATTTCCGCCAATCCTTCCAAGGTTTCCTCGAGAAGACATGTTAGGATTAGACTTGTTCAAAGAATTGCTCAGCTGATAATCACTGTTCCTGGTCCCATCCCGTACACCTCAGACAAAGTTGTCCCATGGCATTATGGTGCTGATGTGTACTATCATGGCATTAAGCAAGATCTAAAGAATGAAGAAGCTGATACTGATGTCAGTAATATTGTCGGGACTAGTAAGGTTACCCGAAGTGGAAGGGTTTTCTCTCCTGAGATTACTCCGAAGATCATCAAGCCTACTGTTATTCCAATTGCTTCTCCAACCAGCACTCCTGACATTTCTCCTGTTCCTACTCCAGTTATTACCCCTGCTGTTGAGCCATCTGGGACTCGGGGCAAGGAAATTATAGGTGAGCCTGCCCAGATGGAGGCACCTAAGAAAATCGTTGTGGAAGCCTCTAAACAAGAAATAGAGGAAATACTGAAAATCATTAAGAAGAGCGACTACAATGTGGTCGAGCAGCTGGGGAAGACCCCATCAAAGATATCCATGTTGTCTTTGCTGTTGTATTCTGAAGCCC